AAAGTAGCTAAAACTTTGTGGGCGATGGGGTGGCATCAGAAATAGAAAAGTTCTAGGGGCATTGTGACAATCCTTCGCAGAAACCCCGTAAGTTAACGCCTTTCACTTATACTGAACTTGCATTTCTGCATTTGTTGCCTATTGAATGGTGGGCTTTTTTTTTAGCATTCTACTTGAGGTACAATTTCAAACACCTCTAAAATTTAATGCCTTTTGAGCAATTGTTGTATTTGTTTAACAATTTATTAAATTTGAATTTGTGTTATTAATGTTCTAAAACTCTTTACAAAAACGTCTTAAATAATAAGACATTAATTACAAGATTTTAAGATTTTTTGTCTTTGAAGGTTAATTGATTTGATAAAGAAAATGTAAATTAGGTACTTATTACAAAATTGTTGCTTATTTTGTGAAAAATTAGCTAGTCAACTTGGTTTTTGGCTTGGTAATTTTGCACAAAGGAATTCTTTTGAAAGCCTGGCTTGAATTTTAAACGAAATAATTAATAGAATGCTGTCTTTAAAAAGTGGAATATTCAATTAGTTGATTCAACTTTGGCTTGTTCTATTTTAAAATGTTCATTCATATTTTGGCAGCCTGGAGGTCGCGTGAATTGATTAATGAACCTGTTGTTCACAAAGCAAATTCAGGAACGAGAACATGAATCAAGGTCGTCGAGGCGTAGGATTTCTTTGTTCCCGTCACACCAGAAGCCGCTAATTAGCCGGGAATATGCGAATCAGGTCTTCACATGCCACTGTCGGGAATTAAGCTGCCAGAAATATTTGTGACTTGATTAAAAGTTCGCTTGCCAGATGAAGGCGACACCTAAACGGGCTTTTTGGTGGGGAAAAGGCCTGAAACCCCTCACGAAATTCGAATCCTTTTTCGGGGATCAGGTAAATATTGACTTTTGGCACTGAGGCCGGAGATCCGATGGTAATCCTTCAGCTAAAGCAAACAATTACAATTGGAGGGGGAATCTATGGTGGCGGAATGACTAAGTTATGAGACAGCTTCAAAGGATACGGCTTTAAGAAAGAACTTAACAAATTCCTGGCCATAAATAAGTTATGCACTTGCCGGAGTCCATTGGAGCAACAGGCTGCCATTGAATTAGGTTGACCATCAAATATTTAGACGCCTTTATGGCTGGCGTAAATTTCACTGAAAGGATTCGTCTCACTGAGTGATTATGGCTCAAATATGCGCATAATGCCGGATGCTCAAGAAATATTGCCATCTAAGCATTGCTTGAGTCGGAATTAAGTCAAATGAATTGCCGCAAAATGAGCAGAGAACGGAAGGACTTATGAAGAAAAAGGATTCCCCGGAGACCTGTCAGAAAATTGAGTTAAATTACCTCTTTTTCTATATATTTCCAATTCTTATGGCCAGTCTGGCAATCGCATAATTTGTGTCAGCAATTTTTTCTACTTTACGGTTAAAAGTTAAGCTTAACGAAGTAAGCCGCAAATAAATTCGATTACGCATACGCACTGTTGCCCGGCTTTAATCAGCTAATTAATTTTACGCAACCGCAAATGGACTGTAAAATGCAATCTGGCGAACTTTTTGTTTTGCCCCGTCATTTTGAGTTTACATGTATCTAAGTTGCAATGAGAATGTAAAATGGAAAGATGTGTGTTTCCAGCACGGAAATTAGTTCTGCCTTAAATGCTTCGGCTTCCTCTGCTTCCCAATATTTATTGAACATATTGCATCGGAGATTTATGCAAGAGTTCTGCCACAACGGAATTGAATAGACGGCATAAATTTCGCGCGGCTGCTGCTACATGACGAAGGCAATTTATGGAAATTAGAGGGATCCTAGAACCATATTTCGGTGCTGATGGAAAATTAAATTTTACATAGGATATGGTTAACTTTCCATATGTGGCGTTCTCAATAACTCTTTAGAAGAAAGAAAAACAATTTAAGTCAACCAAAATGGGAGGCAGTATTATAAGAATAAATCAAATTAATACCGAAGAAAGACATAGACATGTCTTTCAATATAAAACCACTAAATGTATTAAACTGCAATATTCATTCATTCAGTGTAGACATTTTAGATTATGTAGGGAAATTAAAGGGTGTAAAGCATCCATCCTAGATCCACCTAAGCCAACTATTTATGACTGCTGCAATTAGAGGTCACCTCTGATGTTAAAAGCTTATCTCTCATGTTTTTCTCGCCTCACAGCTCCTTAGCACCCTATTGCACCCGTTGACATTCATGGTTTAATTGTTGTCGTTCTCACAAGTTGCCAGAGTGAAAAACGAAGCTTGGCGGCGGGGAAATCGAGGAAAACAGGAAAATGCGAACGGAAATGGGACAGCAGGGGTGTGGCTGTCATGTCCTGGCTTAAATGGCTGTAAAGTGCCAAAGCGTCGGTGTCACCATTAAGCGCACATCAAGTGCAGGACTCTCTGGAAATCGAGCAGGATGTGGATTTGTGGACGGAAAGAGGGGCGAAAGGCTGGAAAACATGGGAAAATCTCGTCCCTGTCCAAAGTGAGTGACCACACAAGAAATGAGTCAGTTGCAGTCTGCAGTTTCATTGCGATTGCCCTGCCCACACCATCGAATCGTTTGGTATTTCTGCTCTGGTTTCTGTTGGTTTTCCCAACGCCCACGGCTCATTGGCAGGTGCGAAATTTACATTTATCCTTGTCCATTGAAGTGGATTCCTGGTGTCCTGGCTTTCTGGCTTCCTGACTTTGCCCACAATGTTGCCATTAAACAAACAGATCGGAGCTATGCATGTGATGGATGGCAGCAACATCGAATGAGTAATAGTACCCTAATTTTCATTCCGAAATGGCTGCTGTCTTTGGCAGGCCAACATGACTTATGGTGGTATTTTGATAAGTTTAAATGTCTTTGCCTGAAGAAAACTAAATATTTGTTTAAGTCAGACTTACTTGTTACAGACAGAAAAAGAAGGAAAGGTAAAGTTATTATCTAATTCAATATAATTTTATTAGAAAGGGTTGTGCGGTAATAGAAAGCTATTGTACAAAAAACAATTGTTACTTTTCCTGTGTCAGCACCCTTCCCATTTCAACTCTAACCCTTTTCGGGGAAGATGGATTCGATTGGTTATTTTTGACGGCTGCTATCTTATCTGACTTGGAAGCGTCTCAATCATTATTAGCTGATTTGTCACCACGAGTTCTATTTATGTTTCCGTTGCAACCAAATGTCACGGGAAACTTTTGCCGGATTGGACCATTACCAAATCGAATTAAGTATTCATTTGCGCCGGGACCACAAACTTTGACCCGTTGACCCGCTTGGACTTTCATAAATTGATTACTAGCCGAGTCTGCAACGTGAGCCTAATGAAGGTAATCAGTTCTAGCATAAGCCAGAACTGAAAGGCTGCCAAAAAGTTTGGCAATAACACCATAGACAGCTAGAATCAATCAATCAGGGTAAAAATCTCGGCCGAAAAAAATTAGATCGTTAGGAAATCATGGAAACAAAAGTTGGCCCAACTTGTTGATCGAATTACAAGGAATTACACGCGTGTCTTTGTCACCTATTGCTGCACAGAGAAAAAAAATATGTTCTTACTTTAAATTTGTTTTTATTTTAGGGTTCACAGAAATCGCTTCAGCCTTTGATTTAATTTATTTTAAAAAGCCCTACAAAAATCAATAGAAATCATATTCATATCATATAAACTTAAAAAGAAATGTTTAAATAAGTTTACTTTTTAACCTACTTATTTAAATTAAAAACAATTTTGGATAGACTAATATATATTGGAATCACATGATTGTACATATAACTCTTAAACTTTTAAATTTTGCTATTAATAACTCTTTTAGGTCACTGAAATTCCTAACGATATATCTTTTAAGCCGACACTCACCTGAACGCCCAGAATAATCATGGACAAATAAAGATAAACGACAAGCTTCATCGCGACCTTTGATTTTCGAAACCGAAGATTAGAATAGCCAATCCCCGCGGGGATATTGAGATTCAGAATTTGGAGGGTGAGGCGACTTTTCAATTATCCCGCGAGTTCCGGAGCGCCTTCGTTTGATCCTTGGCCTGTCCAGAGATTAACGCAGGAATCACGCACCCAATAACTTCATTAGAGCGTGGAATTAGCGACAGAGGCACGCGATGCTTACTTGGCACTCGATGCGTATACTTGATGCGGGTTTGAAATAGCACTGGGGAAACCGTTCTTCTTATTACAGGGTGAAAGAAATCAAGAAACCGTTGCAGGACGAGGACGAGGACGATGCGTCAACGCTGCCGCTCGACGACCGAGTGTTGGCCCTTATCAGCGCGGCATTTCCTTTTATAGCCAGTCAGCCAGTCAGCCAGTCGTCCTTGTTCAGAGTTCTTAGTTTTCCTGTCACTTTTCTGGGCGATTTTCCCTCAAGGTATTGATAACCGTGATGTTTGCTAGTGTCCTTAGTTTTTTTTTAACGTTTTCCTGCAATCTTTTCTTCATCATCATTTTCCTTGTTTGTAATTTAACATTAATGCTTTTGTATTTCCATTGCATTTTTTTGAAATACTTGCGGCTGTTCGGTTTTTCACCACCATAAGCTTTTTTGGTAAGTTCTCTTGAGGCACTGCCAACACAAATAGTTGAGAAAAAAGCTTAGGGGAAAAGCTCTTTTAAACGAAAAACAGTTTTTATTTATATAAACTTAAGTGTTTTTTAATCTTAAGAAAGTGATCTAAATCTAAAGTCAAACGGAACTTTAGGTTGTGCTCTTTTTGTATTCAGTGATTTTATGAAGGCACATATAAATATTCTTAAAGTTAAATATAAATTTTAAATATCAATTTTAGAAAAGACGCTTAGAAGTTTTACTAAATACGCTATTTTCTTAAGGGAAAACCATTCATAACTTATATTACAAATAGTTATTTTTGTAAATGGAATTTTATGCGTACAAACTTGTGCTGCATATAAAAGCATTTACAAAGTTAAAAGTTCATTCCACTTTCTTCAGGAGTAATCCTATTTCAATCCCATATCTAAAGTAGGTGCAACAGCCACCGGAATGGGTACATTTCTAGGGTGGTTTACATCGCCTCTATCATAGTAACCTCCTAAATGCTCTCCTGGTACATGGTAAAGTCCATAATGTAGTCCATTGTTGGCCACCTATCGTTTTCGGAGAAATATTAAAATAGAGTCAACTTAATACTTTGATGTTTATATACCCTTTTTAATCCATTGATGGAAGCTAAGAGCAGGGCCATCTTGGCCAACAGTAGTGCTTTACCGCTCACTATAGACAGCATTTGGAAGCCCATGGGTACCAAAATAGCTCCCAAAGCGGTGACCCCAAACATCATGGTGATAATCATGTTATAACGATGTCGTCTCAGTCGGGCACTTCCCACAGGGTCGGTGTCAGAAGTCTCTAAAAGAGAAGATATTCAATGTACCGAGAAAGAGGTATAAATTGTCGAAGACCCACCACTGTTTAGATATCGCTCAGTAAGTTTTCCCAAGTTCACTTGCAATGTGTGGGTGGTTAAACCCTTGGCCAAACTCACAGCTAGCTGATCAAACCAGGTAAGATGCTTTAGATCCTTCCGCTCATCTTGGGGTCTTGAAGAGCTATCAGTGACATTGGGTGCAGATACCAGACGTACTCCATCGTATAATGAAATCTCTGGAGCAGACATTACGTCCTCGAAGAGGTGTAAGCTTTTTGAGCGGAAACAAGACCACAGACTTTGATAGACTCCAGATTGATAGCAGTTATGTAGATCACTGCGCAGTTTCTTCAGCTGGAATATCCATGATTTATCCGTCTGATCCTTTCCAGTAACAAAACGATCACTTAGGACTGCTCCAAGTAGGAATAACACCAAGCCCGCCTGCACTCGCATTGTTCTCCCTTTGAAATCCGAAATGAAACTGCAGCAAATATGATCCCATCGATGCAGTTTTTATAGCCCATAGCTGATCAGTGATCGGCGACCGATCTCGTCCAGTGCACCCGGTCAATGGGGCAGATGTGGAGACCCTCTTCTCGGAGCTCTAACGGTTTCTTTTAGCGGTCATGGTCGGCAGACAGTTGTTGACTTTGAAAACGAGTGTGGGCAACCCAGAAAATCAAATGGGCAGTGCCTAAAATTAACTTGTCAACATCGATTTGCAAGTGCCCACGATCGCACAATTCTAATCAGATGCCTTTCGACCCTGTTTACTCTCAACAGGCTATGAATTAGACGCTCGATTGAGTTGGTAAGCAGCGTTCAAGAGGCATAGACTGTCATCTGTAGGTTAGTTCGAATGAGTTCATGTAAAGTGGGTTTGGCTTCGATTTCTAAATCATTGTTTAAGATAATTCCAAAGGTAGCATTAAATTAAAATCAATTAAATAAGATCTCAATTAAATTTGATTGTTTTAAACATTGAGTTTTATTTTAATTTATTCTTTATTAGCTAAGAGGTCATTCATTGCATTTCCTTTGCTTGATAATTGTTTTGAACAAATTCGTACTAACATTAAAAGGTTTTCGCTTAAATAGTTACAATGAGTGCAAAAGTTGACGTTCAGTGATTGGTTGTTGCTCTAGACTTTAAACTAGTTAACAAAGTTTACAAAAACAGTTCTACACTTGCCTAAATATACATGCAACCGCCAAAATTGAATCTATAATTTTTAGATGGATTTCACAATTTTTGTTTTTTTTTTTTTGGTTTTGAGTGTGGTAAAAACAGTTGCTCAGAGCCGGGTGCCCAGGATTCGAAAGCCCTGCTCTTCAGATACAATAGTACTATAGATACGGCGCTGCTCTTCCCTGATTCTCGTTAGAAATATCCTCAGTGCTTCTGTGTGTATTTTGTGTAAACGCGTCCTAGCAAAAAATATATCTCATCTCATGTGATTTGGAACCCCCAATCCTGCCTCCATTTCGCTCCTCCTTGACTATGTGGCGCTTGGCAGGCGGTGGCGCCAGTACAATCAGGATCCTGTGGCCGTCGAGGGCGTGGCAGCGGCAACTCCGCGTCCGAAACGCGGCAGGTACAATCCGAACTTGGACTCCACGCCGGCCAGAAGAGGAACGGCCGCCTTGTAGCCACCGATGTGGTCCAGGTTCTCGGTGCTCACCGACGCCGCCGCCTTCTCCAGCGGAGTGGTGATCTTGTGCGCCTCCGATCCCTTGGGATGGCTGCCTCCGAAGTCCACGTAGAAAAGCCGCTGCAGCAGCTCGTAGGTCACCAGGGTCACGCCGAACTGCGGCGAGGAGCGGAACACACGAGCTGTGGGAAAAGGTGATAAATATTAGTACAAATTCACTTTTAAGATCAAAAAGAGGTTCTTTTTCATGAGTTTATTTTGGAAAAGCTTCTAAATATATTACCAAGAAACTTATAATGCTGCATTTTGCAACAAATAGATAAACATCTATTGACTAACAGTATACAATGTTTAATCGGAAAATGTAAATGAATATGATTTTTTTTTCTGAGGGCGCAAAGTTTTAAATTAAAGTATGGTGTAATAGGACTTTGGTTTTAATATTAGCATTTTGAATACAACAGGTTTAATAAAGTTTTTGATATAATAAAGATTGATTTTTGAAAAGTAAATTTGAAGCGTAAAGCATTTAAAAACACGAAAATAAATTTCTAAAGCAAAAATCTTAATTATTTTGGTTAAAAAAGCTTTAAAAGTTTAGAAACGTGTTCTTGAAATGTTAAAACAAGATCAAAATAAATCATGAAAATTGAAAATGAATAGATAACTCCTAGGTTTATTCCGACTTACCTGCAGTGCCCTTCCAGAAAGCCCTAGGTCCCTCTTCCGCCATGATCTTCTTGGTGGCATCCCAGACGCCATTATAGGTGGTCTGGCCGGAGCGGGCCACCACCTGCAGACGGGTCTTGATGACGTCGGCGGGCGTGACGAGGGAGGCGGCCGGAACACCGGCAATTGCGCCGGCGGCCAACAAAGTGAGTGGGTGGTTGTAGCCGTCCTTGTCGGCCATCAGGGCCTTGGTGTGGGCGTAGGTCGGGAAGTAGATGGCCGAGAAGGGCACATCGCGGAGAAGGCAGGCCCTGGCTCCCTTGTAGAGGCCGAATAGTCCCAGTTCCCGCACCACCGACCAGGCACGGATCTTGCTCCCCGTTGCGATTTCTCCCGCCACTTGAAGACGGATCTTGACAATCTCCAGGGGATTGGTGAACACCACCTGCGAGGCACCTGCACATCCTCCGGCCAACACCTCTGCCCAGGTGGGAATGTTGCCCTTCTTGTCGGTGAGTTTGTCCCTAACCAAATCGTTAACCGTCAACTTGATGGCTTTCTCGGGTGCCACGCCCATTAACTGGGGCAGCAGACCTCTGTACAGGCCCAAGAAACCCTCGTGACGAACAACCTGACGGTTTCAATTTATAGGATTAGGATTAAAATGCACAAAATATTTGAGCAGAATTACCTTTTTGAAACAATCCAACGAGTTCCGGTAGGCAACTTCACCAATATAGGAGCCGGCGCGCTGGTTCTGCATTCGAGTCTTGACTAGATCGATGGGGTAGACCACAGTGGCACCAACAGCTATTGATAAATTAAAAGTTAGTAAGTATATATATAGTTATAGTAAGTAAAATCGGGATAATGATCTTACCGCCCGCAAATGATCCCAGAGTGAAGCGGTAAGAGCTCTCCAGAAGCATTATAAAGGCAGATCGGTCGGCAGGACTCTCCACCGCCTTGATATCCGCCAGACGATGTGTCATATGTTTTGTGTAATGTTCGGGGGCGATGTTGCTCAGGTCACTGTAGTCGATGCGGCTGGGGAACCAGAGTATAACAATCAGTATTTATTTCCGTTAAATATATATATATATATATGAAGGGGTAACTAAGAGACACCAACTGGGTTAGGTTTTGGGGTTTTCGGGAATTCTTGGAGGGGATTCATAAACAAATAATGAAGCGGAACTCAGGCCAAGGAAAGACGAGATCACTTGCCTACTTGGAGTTATCTTTCTCCTGCGCTTCCACCAACTTGAAATTGCAATTGCGAGTGCAGCGCAGAGAAATTGAGAAATAAAGAGAAACACAGAGAGAAAAGATACAAACAAGCAACAGTTAGCACAAGAAATTTGACATTCGTTTTGGAAATTCCCTGGGAAACTCATGCACTAGGAAATATATAACGTTACAAAACAATCGGACAGACTTAAGCAGAATTGTCAACTTTAAAGAAACTAGTTATGATCAGTAAAATATATTTTAGTATACTGAATTCTTCATCATGTCATAAATAATATTAAATTCCCGGAAATTGTCTAATTAAGTCAAAATTTGTTTCACAGTCGTGCATTTCAGAGCCCTCAAAAATTACACATTAAATACACGTCGTATTTTACAATCCAAACAACGTGACAAATAACAATAATATTAGATTAGATCATCACTAATAGAAGGTTTCTGTAAATATATATTTTTGACTACTTAATTACATAATTAGTCACATTAGAGCCCTCGAATATAATGTTTGTGAAGTGAGCTATTTATGTGAACGGTCATTATAGTAAAAATTGCAAAATTAGAGCCTCAAATGTTTATTTCCTAAAAAGCTATATTCTAGAAAATATAATTTTCTACTTTTAAATGCAAAATCAGTAAATATACAAAGCACAAAAATTTTAGGTACAGTAAACAATATAACTGAAGTTTATAAGGAATCATTATAAAACAAGCAAATGATTGTTGTAACTTATCCAACAAAAAATGACATTTAACTTTCAAAATTAAACAATTATATTTTATAGTTTTGCTAATTTATGTCCAAAGTTGGCAACACTGAACCCGAAGGCGTTTTTTTCATTTTGCTCACCCTGCTTGATGGACGGCGCCCGCCAGATGGAACAGGATATCGATTTCCAGCGGCGTGATCTGGCTCATCGTCTGGGCAGCGTACAGGATCTGGTCCTTGGTGATCATATCCGTGCGACTGCCTTCGGTTGCGTACAGGTATACTTGTTTGATCAGTTCCATGTTATTCAGCAGCGAGGTAAATGCGATGAAATACGGGAAGCTCACTTTGTGACCCTCAGTGACCTAAAGATGTTAAAAACCATTTTTAGTAAGGGTAATCAGATCAAAAGAAACCACGGATAGCTACCGAAACTAGGTTGTCCTTGACGCCGGGAGTCAGTAAATGCCGCTTAACATTAACGATTATGTCCTGGAAGTCCAAGGGGGAGATGAATCCAGTGCCAGCTGGATCCTTGCTGCGGAACGCCTCCATCGCGTGCTCCTCGTGGAAGTCGTGCAGAAGTTGCGTAAACTCAGCATAGTTGATAAGGCGTTGCTTCTTCTATAAGTTGGGAAAATGTTTAGCTTATTAAACAAATAAAAATACATGTGATTGCAATGCACTTACATCACCAAAGTAGCGCTTGATAAAGGGGCCGTCTAAGCTAAAAGGTATCTTTGAGTGCAGTTCAGTTTTTTGTACGACATCAGCAAAGTCAGCTGGAATTGAAAAGAATTATATTAAACATAGGTTATGAATTAAAGATGTTTTTTCTCACCATAGGAAACGGTGCCGTTGCCATTACGGTCGAACAGCTGGAAAGCGGTTCTGTAGAGGGCATCGGGAGTACAGAGCAGACCCTCAAAAGCCTGGAACTCCGAAAACGAAATAAGTCCATCCTTGCTCGTGTCCGCAATGTTTGCCAGCAGGCGCACCGATTCCTGTTAAAGTAATATTGTTGGAATGAAAAAAATCAGTTCAAATGTTAAACAGAATTTTATTTGAATATTTGTAAATGTTGTTTTTGTAAAGTGTTTGCATACAAAGTTTTTTAAAATAAATTACTAAAGGTTTAAGTGCAGATTCATTATATTACTTATGCGGTTACAAGA